TTGTGGCATGGCCACCCCCCTGGGGGATGATTTCTCGCTTTCTGTCTCTCTGTCTCTCTCTGTCTTTCTGGTGAGCACACGCACCCTATAGCAAAACCTCTCCACAAAAAAAAAGAAAAAAAGAAAAAAAGAAAAAAAAGAAAAGAAAAAAGAAAAAAGAAAAAAAGAAATCTCTTATCAAAAAAGAACATGTGGCAGAAACGATGCCATGCCGCACAGCAGGACTAACGGTGCGGGAATGTGACACCCGCGATGCCAACCTCATCACTTGGCCGAAGTGGCATCAGCTGTTTCTTCTCTGTGTGGCCCCTGCGTTCCCTTCGTGATTAGTGAGTAGCAAGTAGAGAAATGGCTCAGTCTATACAAATATTCTTGTTTCTGTGTCTTCTTGAGCTCCTCTGATTGTTTTCCCCGCCCTACCTTTGCTTGCCGAGTCTCCCTGTCAGGAGCGGGACTGTGCTGTTTCCTAGTGGCGAGCTCTCTTGTCCCCATTCTTTCTACATGTGTTAACTACACCGCGTGTGTAAGGAAGAACTGCCCTTCCCCTGTGTGTTCCTCGGTATCCCTGGGCTCATGGCTCTGTATCTTATTCTATGGGTCAGACCCCGTACTCGTCTTATGCAGGGACTCAGACTAGGCCACTTCGGCCTCGAGGTGCTCCAGCCGTGACGCCTCTGCCCTTTGACAAGCCTGTATCCTGCCGAGGGCAGTTTCTTCTAACACCTCAGCATGTTCCGGTTCACTTGGTCTTCATCCTTCCACAGAGCAGGAATCCATCGTTTCGCTAAGGATCCCTGGGTCCTGCTCCTGGAGAATGGTCCTTGAAGGAAGATTTGGGGGACTGGCAGGTGGCATGGTGGTTAAGGCGCTGGACGCCCACAGGGCCGACCATGATTTAAGTCCTGGAACCGGCGGCTCGCTTCTCACTCTCCTCTCTGTCTCTCACTGGTCAAATTAAAAATAAAGTAATAATAAATAAAAATGAAAGAAACAATCTTTAAAAAAAAAAAGAAATGAAGATTTGGGTACTGGGTGTACTCACTGCTATTGGGGGTCCCTGCTCCTGGGCCCACTCAGTGCTTATACTCGTAAATGTACCCAGACTTCTAATTTTAGTTTTCTGTCTTCTGTCTACGCATCTGTCCGCATCTGTCCGTCTATAGACACGAATCCATGCCGAAGCAATTCATCCCAATCCACCACCACAGGGTTCGCATTAGACTTCTTCCCTTCCGCATTTGCAATTCCTTTCTTCACCCTCTGTCCGTGGACCGGAAGAGGGGGAACTGCGACGTACAGCTCCTCGGCGCTCACCCTACTGACCCGACCCAGCCACGTGGCGTCCGGATTTCAACAGGAAGTAGGAGCACGGATGCGGGGGTCTGGGAGATGCGCGTGATGTGCCCAGGAACAAGCGGGGATGTGTGGCATTTAGGAGCACAAGTGTTCTTTGCCGTATGTGGGGTGCCTCGCAAACGTGTGTCATGAGATGAAGTTTGAGAAGTGCCAATTCAGAGACTAAACGGTTTATTCCAATCAAGAAGCAGCTGGATTTCTTCCAATTAAATTATTTTGTGTAATTAGGACTGAACATAAATTTACTATTATTTTTATTGTCATTATCTGTCATCTATCAATCACCTATCCACCTATATATCATCTACCTACCTACCTACCATCTCTCTCCCTCCCTCTATCATCGATCTCAGCTGTCGGGGGTGTGTGTGCTCACCAGACATAGTGAGAGGGAGAGGGAAAGGGACTCCCCAGTAGGGCACGATAGCTCCGCAACCCCTTTTCCTCCGTCCCCCTTCCCATCAGGACTCGGGGCACACGTGGATGTATACCCTGCACTCTTTCTGTGGGCCGGGACTTGAGCTGCACAGTGGGCCATGTGGGATCTAGCTCCCTTAAGTACCAGGCCATGAGGCTGGCCCAATTATTATCATTATTATTTCAAAGTATATTTGACATGGGGATCAGCAGTTGGTGTAATGGCTATGTTGCTGGACTCCCATGTAGTCGGCCGCGGTTCGAGTCCTGGACCTGGTGGCTTAAACTCACGCTGGACGCTTGTATGTGCACATGCCCAAGATCCCGAGAAGAGAAGGCTTATTTTTGTATTTCCCAAAAAAACTATACTGCATCTTCTGGACATTAGAATAGTCTACTTTCAAAGTTAGTTTCCGGTTATAGCCAGGGCCAGTATATAGAACCCCTCTCTGCTTGCTCAGAACTCTTTCTAGCAACCAACCAAAGATATTAGGAGGTTGGGAAGCACAATGAAAATTTTCTGAAGGCAGAGATGACCAATCCTAATTCTAGATTCTAAAATATTTATTGTGTTCCCACTTAGTGGTAGGCGATGGAACGGGGACACACTAGATAAATAAGGTTCCTATCTTAGGGAGCTTATATCCCAGTGAAAAGAGCAGACAAAATGAAAAAAATATTTCTAACAGTGGTAAATGATAGATTGATGCAAGAGCACCTACTACATAAAGGACTGAATCCTCTTTGATAACAAGAAGGACTTCCACATGAAGTTCTAGGAAGACTATCCTGTGCAGGAGAAAACTATTCAGCTGGGAAGCTGCCCAGATGGCAAGGAGCTTAGTATGCTCAGTGGACAGAGAGGAATTAGTCCATCTGAGCACTGTGAGATGAGCGAGGAGAGACCATGCGGGTTGGCTAGGACCAGCTCGAGAGCCTTTAGAGTCATAGTAAGGGATTCGAGCTTGTTCTAGTTGAGTGGAGAGCTGAATGGCTTTCCATCAGGTGCGATCCTGTCTGAATGGCTCTCCGTCAGGTGTGATCCTGTCTGAATGGCTCTCCATCAGGTGCGATCCTGTCTGAAATGATGTTGTGGGGGCAGTAGGGCCCATGTAGGTGGAAGAGAATTTACCAGAGGCAGAAATAGAGAAGTGAGGTTTATTAGAGCTCAGGTTAGAATGTCTGTGGGATTTGTGCCTCCTGCGGGAGCGTAGGGGGACGGTAATGAAAACTCTGCAAGCTCAGGTTGGAAGCAAGGTGTGGGGCTGTGGTGGTGGTTTCTCAGAAATGCATGGAGCTGATTTGGGGAGGTGGCACCAGACTCGGGTCTGGAATGTCTCGTGCCCACACTGTAAAACCTTATTTTGGGAGAAAGAAACAAACTTGTCTTAGGGGAGGTAGGCCTTATCCAGGGCCTTGTCTCTCCTGGAGAGAGACAGAGAGATGGAAAACTATCAGTCACCCCCAGGAGTGATAGCAGCGCTGCAGTCCTTTCTCTTCCAGTCTCCTCTTGGGATTTTGGGCATGCACACATGTTCACCTGCTGTGATTTTCAGGCTGCTTGGTCTGGGACTCAAACCTTGGCGGCCATGTGGGAATCCAGGGCCTTAATCACTACACCACCTGCTGGCCACTATTTAGTTTATATATACACTTTTTTAAAAAGAATTATTTAACTATTTATTCGTTCATTATATATATTTTTAAAATTTGACTAGACACCAGAGAGAGAGAGAGAGAGCGAGTGAGCGAGCGAGTGAGAAAACAAGCCACCAGGTCTAGGACTCCATGTGGGAGGGTCCAGTGCTTTAACCATCAATGCCACCTGCTGGCCCCCTTTAGCTTACATTTTTAAAAATGTTCTAGTTGCTCGCTGCAGAATGATAAGAAAGACCAGGGTGGAAGCGGGGCTGTTGGAATTTACTATGTTAATACACGAGAGGAAGGTCTCATGAAGTCCCCTAACCGCCTAACGGGTCCCATTTCCTTATTTGATCATATCCTATTGCATTTACAACTATCTTTCGATCACTCATTTGTTTATTGTGTCATTCCCATTTAGGGATGCCAGATAAGATAAAGAAGCCCAGTTCAATTTGAACACAGCTAAACAATGAGTCATTTTAGAATGTGTTCCCAAATACTGCCCAAGAAAAATCACTTATCTGAGACACAAATCGGAGGGGGTGGCCAGCAGATGGCCTGGTGGGTAAGGTGGCTGGAATCCCACATGGCCAACCACGGTTTGAGTCCTGAACTTGGCAACTTGAAAATCACTTCCATTTACCTGGGTGCCCGAAATCCCAGGAGAAGACCGGAGAAGGGATAGCAGCATGGCCATCTCTCCCCTGGGGGTGATTCCTCACTTCCCTCTCAGTGCCTCTCTCCCAAGAGCGCGTGCACCCTATGGTAAAAATCTAAAAACAAAACTAAACAAAAACACAAATTGGGTTTCTTGCATGTGTATGTAGTTGCTAAATCAGACAGCCCTCGTCCCTCTGGAAAGTCAGCTCCATGAGGGCAGGAGCCTGTTCTGGCCCCCACGCCTGCCCTGCACCGAGCAGCAGCCCCTGCGCCCTCACGAGTCGGCTAAGGACGCCAGCACTACCGCCTGGACTACCCCGTGGTCTGCGGTGCCAGGAGAGGGCCGGGCAGGGAGAGGGCGGGGCCGGGAGGCGGGGCCGGGAGAGAG